TTTCTGGTTTCAGCAAGGAAGACCTACAAGAATAATATGAAGATTTCTTAATGGCCGCTCAAGCAAACGGATGGAATGCTAATCGTAAGAAAGAAACTTTTGAAACTTATTTTTGAAAAGGAGCTCGAGATTGGTATCTTGAATGGACAGACGGCAATGCGCATACTTGGGATCAACTTTCAGCTGCTTTTACAACCAAGTATCTAAATAACGATTTCTGCAAACAATGGACTGAGGAATTACGAGGTCTCAAACAATGCAGGAGTGAAACTGTTGAATACTATTACTATCAGGTCAGGCGAATGACTACTCGAGCTGAACTAAATCCTGCTGCCACTCTTCCTTACTTGGTTCAAGGATTACTACTTGAGATTAAGGCCGTAGTTAAGACACATGCTCCTGTTGACCTGGCTGAAGCCTTAACAAAAGCTAAACTATATGAGTCTGAAAAAATGGAAACGAAAAAGTCCCGAAAAAAGTACTGACAATATGAAAGTTCCAGCGACGAAAGTTCTGCTAGCTCAAGTGAAGAGGAAAAATCTAAAAAGAAAAAGAAAAATAAGGAGAAAAAGAAATCCTCTAGTAGTGATAAAATGGGTGAATTAACTAAATGGTTTAATAAGTTGCAGATCAACCTAATGTAACAAGTTGAGGGATTAACTAAAAAAATTGGATACCAGAATCAAAGGCGAACCAATAACTCTCGTGAATATTTCAGAAATAATAATTTTAACAATGACAATAATAACAGTAACAATAATAATTACAATAACAACAGTGGTCTACACAGATGTTATAATTGTAACGAGGTTGGACATTTTGCTTGTGACTGTCTAGTTGAAAAGAAAACATATCCCCAAAATCAAAATAGACAAAATGTCAGTTATGTTGAATATGACAATGACAGTGATGATGAATGTGAAGTCTATGAAGCTATACGAAACAAACCTAATAATCGAACTATCCCTCTACACAAACCAGGAAGACCAAAGAATTCTGTATCTCAAAAAGCTACGCCCGTTATCAATAATCAATAGCCTGAGATCTTAGTTGATTTTGAACAAGACCCTTATGAGGATGCACATATGCAAGAAGACTTACCAAAAATAACATTAAAAACA